TCTCAACAAGGAATAGCCTACCCCTTCCTTTCGAAATTGTCACAAACAAAACAAAGGCGGGAAGTTTGTACGTGTCTATAAGTCGGCAACTTTTTTATAATTCTGCGAAAATTGTAATTTTGCGTCGATTGTATAGGTAAATCATAATTAAAAAATTGGCTAATTCTTATTTTAGGGTACGATTCTCGTTCACTGTGAACTGTTCGTAGATTATATTCTAAACAAAGCTTGTAGTGTTCTTTCTTCACAATGTGTTTGCAACTGCAGTTTGAATACTAGAAGCCAATGTGTGTGGAGCTTTAGTACGGGTGTTTTGTTTGGTGATTTGAAAACGACGAGGCTATTATTGTTATAAAATGATCACAGAAATATGACTAAAGCGCTTTTTCAATTTTATTAATTTCAGAGAGTGGACGATCTATTACATTGCTTTCTTATAAAAGTGAATGGGTAATTATGCGGTGGAGAGACTCAAGGTGTTTACAGTGATCGCGAAGCCCGAAGGTCCGAGCCAGGCCGTGACTTGGATCCGGGCTAGCAACGAGAAAACTTGCCTTTGAAAGTAATTTGGCATTGCAATATGGTAGGAACAAAGCGCATGCGAAGACATTGCACTGCACAAGAATGAGCCGAAGGCGAAGTGATTTTGTAATTTGGAAAACTTTAATTTTGTGTCAAATTGTGAAAGCAATTTCATTTAGTGTAAATGTGAAAGCCAACTTTTCACCCTGCTGAAACAGGACGTCTTTGTTCTGACAGGGATTTGTAGGCTCTATAAATAACTTCGTCGACAAGATAAGCTAATACCAGGATTTTTTTTTAATGGAAGGCATTTGTTTCTCTGATTGTTTTCTTTACAGGCTGAAAAGCACTGGTTGCATTGACAATGAGATTAGCGTTTGCCAAAAATATTAGATAAATTGTTATTATACAGTGTTAATAAAAAAATAATTCTCTTCGAATATTTTCTGAATGGTTGAAGATATTCAGATAAAATTTTCGTCAAACGATTCAGGACATAAGGGCTCGTCGGTTTTAGTTATTAGCTTTTTGAAAGCATTTTTAATTCCAAAGATATTGCAGAGACTAATTTTTCAAATAGAACACTACTTTCTTTACACGATTAGATAAATCTTATGAAGACAAATTCAGCAATACATATGTTCGTAATTGATGTAAAAACAGTTCGGTATTATAGCAAGTTCGGAAGTACGCGGTGCGGCTGAATTTAAAAACATTTCCATGGCCTCTACCTTTCACCGTTTCAAAACGCATCGGATGGCGACGTCTGAGATATGTATGACCTCTAAACGACAATCGACAGTGCGTTGTTGTGTGCTACCCCAAACAAATGAAGAAAATAGTACACTTAAAACACATTTAGTGTCAATATCTCTATTATTGACGAAGTTGCAACTCGGTTGAATACGCCCTTGCCTGGGAAGAATACGATTTTCACAGTTGAGCCAGAGAAAAGTTTCTGAATTTTTGCAACCTTTCGGAAATTTTCGAATCTTCTTTTGAGCGAAAAGTGAATTCAGTACTTTCGATCATTGTAACACACGATGGATTCGCCTGGACGTTTGTTGAGAGGGAAATTCAAGCTACAGGTTCAGCAAGGTCGCACCAGTGCACTGCGCCTTGCGGCTTGGAGTCAGCCGAGCTACCCGGTGCCGCAACGCAAAGGACCGTTTATCTGCTTTTCGTTTGACGTCGCCAGATTAAATACGCTTTCTTTTTGTTATTTAAGGTCGCATCAACTACTAGGTTATTAGCGACCACTATTGCTTGAAACGGTATGATAACTGTGAGGATGACATGATATGATAATGATAGGGGGTGAACGAACGAACACAATACAACCACGCCCGAGGCATCCTTCGGTCCGAGATCGCTAAGGCCCTACTGACTTAGCGATCACGGCCATGCGGACCGGCAAATACTCTTTTGTGCTGTTAATTATTCATCAACTACAAACAAATGAGTTATTGATGAGTTTGCCTTCTCAAGACCTTTCTGTTCGTGTAAAAACAAATATAGCTTCCATTAAAAATGAACCTCCGCTAAAGGGTTTGTGGAAACAAAACATGAAATCACCTTTCACGAGTATCTTATTTTGTTGACTTAACATCCACAATTCTTATGATTCTGCGTTGTTCACCTGTTTTAGAGATTATCTCTAGACTGTTGCGCAGACATCTATTGGCGCTACATACGTATGCAAACTTAACTAAAATTATGTTCACTTCTTCTAAAACAGGGGAAGCACGAAAGCGGTTGGAATCGGGCTGTGCCTTGTCAGGTAACGCGAAGTGATTAGGGAGTAGCTGGGAAGCGAGGGATGCAGTCGGGCGCTTCGCTGGCCCGCCTGCAGCGGCGCCAGGCGGTCGGTGACTTACCTGCAGCAGCCGCCGGCGCCGCTCCGCGCCGTGCCGATTTCCAGGAACCACCGCTGGGGCCCCGCAGCGCAAGAATGCAGGCTCCGTCGGGGCGCCGCCGCCGCCGCCACCAGCGCACGCACGTGCGCGAGGCGACGGCCAGGCGCGCTCTTACGCACTCGACGCGAGACGCGCGTGCTTTCGTCACGCGACGCACGGCCGCCACCGCACGCGCGCAAAGCTCCTGCAGGGGAGCGCACTAACTTGGCACTGCTAATATTGATATGCGGCATTACTCTGCATTGAGGCCAGTCCTTTCATAGCTATATCTCGTTTTGTTTTTTTTTAAGTTGCGATATCTGTACTTTACCTGAATACGTTCACTAAGGAATAGTAGTTTATGCAATCAGTTTATAAAGTTAAGCTTTATTGCTTTATGAGTACATGTTTTGAAAACGAGCGACTTTAGGAGCGAGTTTTCAAATTTGTTCAAATGTAATAAAGCAACATTATAAACGAGTTGCATACTATATTTTTTGTATAACAGCATTATACATT